CTTTTTATCTTATTGCTTGCCTAAATGTAATTGAGTTTAGGATTTCTTTCTCTTTGCAGCAACCTCTCCTCTGTTTGCACTAGGAGCTTGGTTTCTGGGAGCCAGGAGGCAGATTTGTCCACACTGGCACTGTGGCACTGCAGTGGCTGGAGCAGCAGATGTCTGGGTCACTCTGTGTCCCATGTCCATTCCCCAAGAGCATGGCCACCCTGGAGTGCCTCAGACACACACGGGGTGCTCAACAAGAAGCAGCTGAGTGCACAGAGCCACGCTGGTTCCACCGTGTGGACGGCTCCAGCAGGCCAGGGTGTTTCAGAAAGACTGGAAAAGTTGCTTGGGTTTAGTTTTTCCCTGCATTTTTAATAAATATGCCTGTGGAAACCAAATCCTGCAGGTGCTTATGCACAGGATTGACCTGTGCACCCACATGCAGTCCCAGACTGGGACTCTCTGTGTCCTGTCTCCATGTCCTCTGCTTCTCCACGGCGTCCCCTCTCCCCTCACCCTCAGCTATTGGTGCTGACTGGCAGACCAGTGCTTTGAACTAAAGGTAGGATTACAGGAATCCTGCAGCCAGACTGCTCTGAAACGTTTCCTAGTATTCCTCTGCCCAGTTTGGCAGCTTTATAGTCTGATTATTAATGGCTCTGCAAATCTTCGAGTGGGTGCTGCTGGGTCCCTAGTGGTGCTGGTGTTTATTTTGGTGTCTCCAGCTGGCTTCAGGAGTGCTTTTGGCAACTAGTGGTTCTGGACTCTCATTCCCACTCCCATGCCCAGCTGCATATGGATGTCCTGAGCACCAGGGAAGTGTAAGCTGGCCAGGGCAGGCAGCTCCCCTCCCTTTTTTGCAGTATCAGTTGAAATCAAATGGGATAAATTAATGTGATAAACCTAAACAGAAAAAGAGAAGGTGTAGAAGTTACAGCCTGGACTGTGGAGTTGGGCAGGGTTTGTAGCTATTTACATGAAGGGAGTGCTCCGGGCCTTTTTCATGCTCTTTGCACGAGACTTCCAAACTTCTGTGTTTTATTTTTTGGGTTTTCCCTACTCTTTCTTTCTTTACTCTTTAGGTCATTTGACATCCAGTCTTTCCAACATTCCCGGTAGGCAAAGCTGTGTTTGCAGGCATTGTTCTGCTCGTGCACCTCCTGTGTGGTCAGTGCCTGCCTTTGAGTGATACGCAGATCGGAGGAAGGCAAAAGAAGCTCCCTGTCGTCCTCGGTGAAAGGTGTGCTCAAAGGGATGAGCAGGCACGGGAGCTCCTGGTGCCACAGCCAGACTGACATGGTTTCAGCTCACTTTTTGAGAAACAGATGTGTTGATTGCTGCAGGAGTTCATTGTCAGAGATAATGAGAGTTGCAAGTACGTGAGAGATCTTAGTTAGGAAGAAAATCAATAGTAAAACAATTTTTCAATCTATAGCCTCAGTAAGTAATTTACTTTTGAAATCTAGTTCTGCTCAGAGGTGAAACCGTTTCCATTCATGTTGAATCACATTGGAGTCATAGGTCAGTGTTGGGAAGGTTTTGTTTTGTTTGTATAAGAAGCCCTTCCAATAACTCCTCAGACTCCTCACAGCTGTTTTCTTTGTGTCTGATTTTAAAAAGTGAAGTTTTTTACAAGATGCATTTGAATTTTACCTTTCAATCCGTAAAAGACTCCTCTTTAGCATGGAATATGCACATTGTGGACTATTTAACTGGAAGCCAATTTTTGTTTTGAGCATATATTTTATGAATAAGTTACTAGTATCACTTACTCTTATTGTAGATGTACTGCTGTAAATAATGTGATGACTTGTATGACTTGTACCTCTGTAGGAGTTTTGCAAAGACTAACACCATGAGGCCTTAAACCTCTCTCTAAAATATATGAAAAAAAGAAATTACATAAAAATTTTTATTTGAGAAACAGAGACAGAGATAAAAAAATAAAGACAGCTGGGTGAAACATGTTTCTGTTGATTTGAGAATTCATGTTTTATTTTGTCTAGCGACCAATGTGCATTTTTTTATTTTTAGAAAATAAAAATACATAATCTGATTTCCAGTTTGAAAAAACAGATTACCTACGTTTCCGTATTCCACAGTTTCATTTTGCACTCCGATTTTAATTTTGCATTTGTGTATCCTGTTTTCAATACGAATTTCAGTGTTGAAATCCACTGCTTTTGTAAATTTTTCTTTTAAAAGGAGAAAGATGCTGATTTCAGTTCAGATATGTAAAGCAACAGACATGACTCCGTGGCTGCTCCTGGTGAAGGCAGAGGCATGGTAGCTTCTGGAATGGCAGTGTCAGACCCCGAGTATTTGTGCCTGCAGTAGCCCTGTGCTGGTGCTGGACTGTTAGGCAGGCTCATCTTCACCAGCACATGGTGCTCTCCTGTACCTCTATTTAATTTGTCTCATCTGTGGCACAGTCTCCTCTAAAGAGCTTGAGCTTCAGATGAAAATGTAGTTCTCAGGCAGAAAGGAATTGCAGTAAAAGTAGTTGTACTACTAGTTTGTCCTATGATTAATAGCAAGACTTGCTTAGAAGTTAGTCTTTGATTTCCTCTGTTTAATTGTAGCCCTAAGTGAAATGGGTTTTTGATTTATAGAAAATGCAAAATTGGGTACAGAAAGTTTTAAATTACAGTAACAGTAAAAAATTTCCCACAATAATCATCCCATATTGTTTCAATTCAAAAGAGCTAGGGCTTGATTTGTGTGGGAAAGAACCCATAGCAGCCAAGTTCCACATTTGAAACTGGGGAGAGAGGAGGATCAATTACCTTCTTTTGAGAGTACAAAAATATGCCTGAACTTCACTATGTAATACCTTTATCATATATTCCCTCTCTGGAAGGGTGCATGTTAATTTAGAATAGATCTTTTCTTATATGGATGCCATGTAAAAGCAAGTAGAAAAATTGTGTTCAAACATACAAGAACATCAGTTAAAAAAGCACAAGCTTTAGGAACAGCAATGGCTTGTAATCATGATGGAAAACTGATCTGTTTTATAATATTTGCATTATGCAGAAAGGTTCAATAAACTGTGAAAGTTCTAACAGCTGTAGTTCAATAGCAGTAGCTTTAATAATAGTAGTTTAATTCCTAGGCTACTTTTTGGAAGTTCTGCATGGCTGATCTCACTTTTGCTGCACCGTATTTGTGTTGAGTTTTTCTTTCATTGGACCGCAATGCCTATGTGTGTTTACAGCACTGATCCTAGATACTGAAATTCTGGATAGTAAAAATATATTCAGTACAATTGAAGTTATTCCAGAGTAAATGACTTCACTTTAACGGATGAGACCAAATTCTGCTCTATTTACAGGGGTAAATGCTGAAAAACACTGATCTAGCCTATGCAAGTTTGCATGAGAGTTCCTGAGAATAGGAGTTTTGGCCCTTTATATTTGTTTTTGGTCTACCGCAATGCAGTTAGAAATAATTCTGAAAATAATAATGCAGTTATTATTCTGTTGGCCATCTTGGTGGCTGTTAAAATCCTGTTTTGCTCTTCTCCCCTCACATACAGTTTCATTTGGAACACACTGAGTTTACAGTTTGAATGTAAAGTGCTGCTTCTATTCCATTTGTTTTGGCATGACCGAGATGTAAAATCTAAACATAAAGCATAGTATTGATCCACTTGTAAGCATTTTCAAATTGTGCTGCACTTCTTGGATAATTTATTGTTGTAGAATTTTAAAGTCAGGTGAGATCTGCATTTGTGCTGTAGCCTGACAGTTTAATCAAGATACAAATTTAGAAACAAATCAGCACCGTCTTTTATATAGCGCCTCTAAATCCATGGTAATTTGTACCAGACCCCAGTAACAGGAAAGGATCGCCGTTTCATGCTACCAATACCAGTGGGTGTTGCTCCCCAGCTGCATCTTGTAAGAGAAGATGCAAGAGAAATTAAAGGATCCCCACATGCATTTTTCTGTAATGCACCTTTTGCAGAGTACGAGGTTGATGGAAAATTCCCTTGAATTCAGTGTGCGAGCGGGCTGTAAATAGTGCCATATGTTCTGCGGTGCTTTAACTCCTACCTTTTGAGCGCACTGGGCAGTTTTTAAGTCAGCTTTCTTTACTTTGTAGTTTTGAAACGTTTAAAAAACGTGAAAGCTTGTACTCTGCAAACTCAGAACAGGGAGGGGAGAGCTCAAGTGCTGCTGGTGCCTACCCTGGCCGCCTCGGGACTCTCCCAGAGGCCTGTTTCGGGGAGCTCTGCCGTGCCAGGATGTCCCTTGCAGCAGGAGCTCGTCCCTGCACGCTCAGCTCCAGCGTATCCGAGCTATAGGCTGAGGCTGTGTGCGCTGGCAGCACAGATGGAGTGTGCTCTCATTAGGACTGTTTGTTGCCTGTTGGAACACACAGCATATTTCTACCGTGGCATCAACAGTTTCTAAGAACTGAGGTCAAAATAAACAGGTTGCAGTTGGATTCAGGAACAGTCTGGGAAACAACTTAAAATTCCCTGCTTAGGCATAACCATGTTCCTAGATAGGTGGGTAAAGAGGCATTCTTACAGCAAGGGCTCATCTGAATTGATGTTTTGTGTATGTAGACCAGTGTGGAGTTGCACGGGCACAGCCAGTAAATTTTCTACAGATTTTCTACAGATTTACAGATCCTACAGAATTCTGCACAGGTATACAGAATTGACTTTATTTTAAATAAATTAGCAAATTTAAGCAGAGCACTCCTGCACTGCTTCTCCTGGTCTTTGTAGTGCTTGAGCAAAGTGAAAGCAATGTCCTTGTGTCCATTTGGAAGGTGCCTGTTTTCACCAGGCCTCTGCCTCCTGTGCAGGATGTTGCTGAAGGCCCTGGCACGTCTGGGCTCTGTGCAGGAGCAAAGCTGGGGCGCTGGCAGACAACCTCTGGCAAGTCTCCTGGAAGCTGCTTTGAGTTGCTACTGCCCCAAACTCCCCACCCTTTCCCTGGGGATTAGTGCTTCCTCAGCAGAACCTGCACCTGAGCTGCCTCTTTGCAAACCCACAGGTGCAGCTCTGGCCCTTGGAAGGGCATCACTCACTGCGGAGCTGCTGCAGCACCCGAGGTCTGAGCCCATGGATTCAGCGTGGAGAGCCCTCATCTCCAGCAGCCAGGTGCAGCAGACTGCTGGGAAAAGAGAGCTCTGTGTGTGACAGCGAGATTCACCTCTGCCCCTTCCACCGCTGGTAAGTTTTTACAGGATCAGCCCATACACACACTCACATTCCAGGTGACAGCCTGGCCCCACAGGCATGAGTGAGTTTTAGCCAGGGATATCAGTGAATACAGGGCTTAATTTGTAGCGTTGCAAGAGCCGGCAAAATTTTATGAAACAGGATAAATACTTGTGATGATTTTGGCTTGAGTAGAGATGTAAATAGATTTGCTTCCTGACAGAATCGGCAACAGTCACCTGTAAGGGTTTACTTATATTTACCTGGTCACAGTTCATTTGCAGCCAAAGGAGCTATCCTGTTTGTTGAGCTGCAAACACACAAAGGCATAGCAATATGCTAGATGTTAGAAAATGTTCTTGTGGGATTTGGGGTTTCTTGGGCAGGGAGGGTTAAATCTAACTCTAGTTTCGGTGGTTAAAATTTTTTTAAAAGTCATTTTTTCCTTTTCAGAAATGAAACATTATTGACCTGTATGGTATGTGTAACAGTAAATGGCTAATACAGATACGTGTAGTGGAGTAGTGAAAAGAGGTGTCAAAAGAATTATGAAAATTTTGAAGGCTGTTATGGGAAGATGTGTATAATTCTCTGAAAGAAAGGGTGAAAAAGAAAGCCTTTCTATGTTCTTTGCTGCTACCAGTTCACAGCTGTTGCCTTTCTTACTTCCCATGGCATGAGGCATTCAGTGGTCTGTATAACAACCACAGGAATAATATTATCATCCCTTACTTTTCTGCAGTGACAGGGAAGCAGCACTCCTAGAATACCTTGTTTATGGGATGATGTTACTGTCTCCACGAGGTTTTCTTGGTTCTTGCTGCTGTTCTCCATATGCCTCTACACACAGTTTGTGTGTAACAATGTGCCTTTCCATCCTTGACCCTGGCAGGTCTTGTGCAGCCTCATTCATCCTGACCCACCACCTCTTCCCTGCTCACAGACAGCTGCTGAGTCTCAAGCTCTTCACTGACTGTCAATGCAGTTGGGAACACTCTCCTCCCCCCCACTTTTAAGTTGGCTCTCAAAGCCCATCGCAGATGGTCTGTACCTCATACATAATAAAGATTTTTTTTCTTCTGAGGCGGGTTTCTGTGAATGTGAGAGGCAGACAGTCTGGCAAGCTTAGACCTGTGTTTTTATATTTTTTTCTAAGTGAGCCTTGAGGGATTTGTTTGCCATAATTTGAAACCCCTTAATAGTTTATGGAGCTCAGTAATATCTTGGTTCTAGAGGCTGGAACTTGATTTGTCCATTTGATATTTTCTAAGGGGAAATTATACACATTGGCAAAATGGAGTTAGGGCCCAGCTAGACAAGACAAAGAGATTAAGCAGAAGCATTCCAGGAGCTAAAGCAGTTGTTTTAGGAAGGTGGTCTTCTAATAAGAGTATGGTATATTTGTGCTGTGTGTGAGTGTTGCTTTGGGGTCACCTGTTATAGCTGTGTATTTCAGACCACTTGTAAGACGTGTTTCAGCGAGTTCCCTCTGCCCTATTTTCAGACTTGAGCAGTAAAGTCTGTGTACCAAAATGTCCCCAGGACCTCATGTAAGAGCCTAAGGAGCATTTTCAAATATCAGATAGTTTGGGTTCTAGATAGCTCAACACTTGTGTATGGTTGCATTGGTGGTGTTATGCTCAGCATTGCAATAGCCATAAAAACAGGTCCAGGTATGGAAATCTGCTTCATGGGCCAGGCTGCCAGTGGGCTCTGGGTTTCTGTTCTGCATGGAAGCTGCCACAGGGCTCTTCCTGATCTCTGCACTATGCCTTGGGAGCTGAAAATGTAGAACATATGTGGGAGGAAAGTATTGGAAGTACATTTATACCAACAGTTTCAGCAGTGTTTTTGACCCCAGTGAGAAAAGATATGTCAAGGTGAGATATGGAACTGTATGTTTTAAAAGATAGGGAAAAAATGTCCTAAACTAAATTGGATTTTGTTATGATGAGGAAAAATTTTTTAACAAGTATTTCATGCTTTGTTGTGCGTGTTAAATGCTGTTTGTGTGTGTGTGCGTGTGTGCGTTGTTACTCATTGTATAAGAAAAATTAAGTCCAAAACCAAGAACTGTAGAGTATTAGCTAAAATACTTTGGGGTTCAATTGTCTGAAGCTCTTGACTCTTAGAAGGAAAAAAGTCTCAGGGGTGTCAGACAGGACACTTCTCCAGGGCCTGAAGGTTGTCAAGAGTAAGGGTCTCTGAGAAGTGAACAAAGCAAATAAAATCTTTTGAGAAGAGATGAGCTCCAGCCTCTCTGTGCAGCCCCTTCCACTGCTTCACTGACTTCATGGCAGAAAGGTTTTCCATTGTTTCTAACTTGAACCTTTCGTATTTCAAGTTCTGTCTGTTGTCCCTTGTTCTCCCACACGCCCCACTGTGAATAACCTGGCTCTGTCTTCTCCTAGCCTCCCGTTGGGTGTGGAGAAGCTGTCAGCAGAGCCTGCTCAGGTCCCTTAGCCCCTTCTCACAGGGCTGATGGTCATCCTGGGGATCCCTCTCATTCTGTCTACACTGCAGTATTGCTCAGCAGGCTGAGGAGAGCACAGGAGCCTCTCACGACAGGGCTGGGGCTGTCCCATGGGATGCTGGCACCAGGACAGGCGAGGTGGCTCCCTGTGAGCTGCATCACTCTTGTCTAACCCCCTTAAAGGGGTGTGGGTATTTTTGCTGACCATCAGCTGGAAGCAGTGCCAGGAGCTGATGCTGTTGGCTGGCCTTGGCCTTCACAGCAGATTCCTGGGTTAATAGTGTGGCATTACTAATTTCAGGTATTATTATAGAAAAATATTAGCTTGAATTCAAAAATCGTGTCATAGTTTAAATGCTGGAAGATGTTAAAGCACTGTAGAGTTTCTTTGCAGAGTAGTTTTTGAGCTGCTGAGATACAGGTTTCAAGCAGAAAACACAACAGTTAGAGATATACTTAATCTTAAAAATTGTTAGGTGTCATGTAATTGCATAACTGCAGAACCCAAGACTAAGAACAGTATTGAGTATCATGAAATTGTGATTTGATTTAAAAATAAAGCAACATCGATAAGATCAAGAGTCTGCTGCTTTTCTAAAGCAAATGTTCATCTAGGAGGGGTTTTTTCAAACAGTGAACCACGTCTGTAAAGTTCTGAAATGATAGCTGCTATTATGTGCTCATCTGCTTGGCACAGTAATTAAAGTATACACTAATGCTCTGAGACACGTGTTTAGAAGTATGGATTGAAATTCACCACCCTGTCCCTATAGAAATTGCTTGATGATTCCAACAGCTTATGCGTTGCTATAGAAAGCTGTGAGTTTGTGTATTGTGCAGGAATACAGTTAAATTTAATATTTCATGTGTTTTATTAAATATAAATACAAAAATACATTTAATTTTATTAAAGATATGGAGAGGGGTTGTTTACATACTTATCCAGTGTGGAGCAAGCATTTTTACAGGTAAAACTTGCACTGTAATAACCACTAAAGATGAAATTGTCAAGCTGCTCAAATATTGCTTAAGGAGTCTTTGAGGTGTCTGCAAGCATTGTGTGAGCAGGGCAGAAGGAATTCCTGCCTCTGGGAGGTGTGGCTCACCCAGGGCCAGGCTGGCACATCCACAGCGGGTCCCTGGTGCAGCACCAGGTGCAGGACGGGCTTGTGCCGAGCTGAGCTGTGTGGAGCAGGCCCTTGGCTGCTGAGAGAGAGTGATAATTCTGCAGCCACTGATGAGTTTTATCTTAGATTTAAGCTTGCAATGCCGATTCCATCTCTGGCTACCTGGACATGGGACACAGTTGTCCTGAGGAAGTCTCCAGAGTGAATTTACAGCCCGTCCAATTACTAAATGAGCTACCACCACAGCCTGTACCATGACTACTCTGCCTGCCAGAAAAACTCGGTGATAAATATTCCACAAGATGCTTGAGAGGCCGTGGTGCCACCCCTACACCGGCCAGGTCAGCGGGTCAGGTTTGCTCTGTTATTTTAGGGGCTGTGTGATGTGTAAGTCAAAGAGCAGGTGTGGGTCCTTCCTGCTGCTCTGAAATGCACGCGGTGTGCAGCTCAAAGCTCTGCCTCTGTCCCATTTCCCAGGGCAGGGAACTGCTCTGCTTCCCCAGCCTGTGTAGGGAGCAGCTGCAGAGCTGCTGCTGTTCCTGGTGGCACAGGACAGTGTCCCAACAAAGAGCACTGGTCCGTGCAGTGCCATGGGGAAGCTCATGGGCTGAGAGACAGGAGCAGCGAGCGGTTGGCTGAGGACACAAAAAGAACAAAATCGTTGTCTGAGGGATTGAGAATCGCTGCCCTTACAAACTTAAAATGTGCACACAAAAAATATCTTGTTCTTCTCTGCTTACAACTCCAACATAGGACCCAGTTAAAAAAAATGGTTGTTTTTGAAAAATTCTGACTTCTATACTCTCACTGGTCTACACACCTCTTTGTGTTTTCAAGATCTAAATGCAGTGTGCAGGCAGGCTTTCTCTTACAGCTAATATTGATATCCTGCCCCAGAGTTACAAAAGCAGAGAGAATAAAACCCTTGCAGACATTTACTGCTTCAGTTGATACATATTTGCCTGTTTCTGGGTGGTGAAAGTTGTTGTTTTTATTATTTTTTGCAGCATATCAGCTTGGATGTAGTCACCCTGTCAGGAGTGTAAAATTTACAGGAGAAATTATTTTAACATTGGAAAAGCTCTTACTCATCTGAACCATCATTCAAAATGCATGATGAAAGTCGCCAAGCAGAAGTTTTCTATCCCACTATCTACAGGACTCCTGCAGACCTTCTGAAGCTTGAGGTAATATTAAAAATAAAGAACAAACAACTTAGTTGCAAAGTAGAAGCTGGTGCAAAGCATGAAGGTATAATTCTAGGGCAGAGTGTCCTGTTTGTGCATTGACCCTTGTCTATGGGAGCAATGGCATTGTTAGAAAATTTCAATACAATATTTGTTTAGATAATCAAAGCAGAAAGAACAGTAAGCTCAAGTTTACTACCAGAATTAAAGATATATAAATATACATATATATATAAGGAAATTGCTTAGTATTAAAAAATTAAATCCTGTATTATGCTTTCTTTATTCTTTTAAAAATATGTGTCAAAGTACAGAAGTGTTTAACTATGACAAATAAGGGTTCGTGTAAGCAGTGAAAGTAGGAACCACTGAGTAGGACAATGTATTTTGTCTTGCTTAGTTACTGAGAAATAGCTGCAGTATTTGCACTTTGTACAGTTTATGCCATTGCTTGCCCTTAGTGCTTTTGGTTTGTGTTCTGTAGTGGTGTCCATTATCTTACATTTGGTGAATTAAACTCTTCCAGTGTATTTCCTTATTTCTGTGGATGTAGTACAGGCAGCTGGGGTGTCATCGTGATGCCTTCTCTGTGACTGTAGTCATAGGATTTTATATAAAGACCACCCAGAGGCTATCAGTATGTTCTCTTATACAAGACATTTTTCCTCTGGCTTGTTTTAGGTGAAATACATAACTAAAACATATTCCAGAAACTTTGTTTTCTAAACAAAGTACCTGTTGGGCACAGTTGTTACTGTTGCAGGAGTTCACATCCAGGGCAGTATAAAATGCTGCTTATGACAAATGACAAATAATGGAATGCTCACTTTATAGCCTCAGGAGTTTGGCCTGGGCCTACAAACAGACATTATTTTTTATTTGGTTATAGATAGACAAATTTATAATTAAGACAGTAATGGGCATAAGCATTCTTGTAGCCTTTGTAGCTCATCTTTCTTGTAAGCATCAAAGAGAATATTTGTGGTAGAATGCACAGCGTGGGGGAATCAACAACATGCAGATTCATTTGTTTATTTATTTATTGAATCTGGTTATCCCCTATCCTTCCATCATCTGTGCCTCTGCAATAAAGGCAAAGCATGCCTATTTTCTCTCTTTACTATTACTCCAAATGCTGTAGATAAGAATGATAGCTGGACACAAGTACCATACTGTGCACCCCAGAACACCAGAGGTATTAATGAACACAGGCAAAGACTTGTGTAACCATTACATCAGTGTCCTATTTCTGGAAATGACTACTGTAAATTACCATTTGGCTGAGGAATCCATCGTGCTGATCTGGAGCCTGCATGGCCCAACTGGGGATTACATCAAGCACATGAAAAAGCTGCCCAGGAATCCTGGCACAGAATGATATTATTTTGTTTTGCATAGGAAACCTGTGTGTTCATGCATACATGTATATAAATATGTAAAGTGGTTTGGATTGCCTGTGTCTGAGGGCAGAGCCCTGTATGTGGCAGACCTTTTAACTTCAGGGGTTGTACATTTTTTATGTCAGCTCTGAGGCAGTTGAGATGAGCTGAAATGTCAGTCTTGGGGGGTCACTGGTGTGTGAGAGTTGCCACAACACTGTTTCTCTAAGGGCCCTTAGAGAATCTATGATTTGATTCCTCTCACAGCTTGGTCCAAACCAGCTTGTGTTTATTGTCTGTGAAGCCCATTTATCTCTGCAACACCTGGGGACACCATTTGGGGCTGTGCATCTGATGAAAAGGTACTTGGGGGTCAGGAGTTTTGAGGCCTTTAACAATTATCTAGAGGGATGGCTTCTGTTGAGGAAATGTTACCAGTTTGATGATCTTTGTCATCGTTTATGTCTTTAATTAATGACAGCAGTGTTTAAAAGCTGAGATTTGTGTGTCCATATATTTTATATGGAATTTAAAACACAACTATCATAAGAATCTTCTTTTTTAAAATGGAGAGAAAGAAAAAACATCAGTCTGGTTAAGAGGTGATTGTTCTTATAAAGAAAACAGTGAGTTATTACTGCTACCTCTGACATATCCAAGTCTAGTAAAACATGTAGCTCTTTAGGACTAGACCTCAGAATAAATTGCAAGATCAGAAACGAAATTAAAATCTTCTAAAACTTGATCCTCATGTATTTTTAAGGAAGTGGTTTATTCCAAGAACTCTAATATATGAAGTCTTGTTAAGATTAAAGTCTCTGGAGGCCGAAGTTCATTTTTTGAGGAAGAAATCCAGTTAACAATAAAATCAGGTAATACCCAATTATATTGTCACAAATAATTAAAATATAGTCAGAACATCATCAGTGTGTACAATAAATAATAGCTGAGAGGAAAGGCTGACCCCATGCTTGTTAAATTGCTTGGAAGTTAATTTAGACATGTTCAGGTGAAGAAAGAGGTTTGGTTGTGTGGGATTATTTTTTTCTCAGCTGCAGTTTTCTTTGTAATTCCACAAGAAATTGAATAATTTGAGCTTGTCAGACCCACCTGTGAAAAGCAGATGCCCTTGTACATGAGCAATCTTCACTCAGCTGGTGAGCAATGAATACAGAGAATGGACAGTGCAGTTGCTCCAATATTAAATTGCTCTTGCAAGCCTTTCAAGCTGGATTTCTTTCCAACCCACAGGAAATGACTGATAATCCTTTTTTCTTCTTGTATTTTTCCCAGAGAAGGAATGTGCTGGGGTAGAAATACAGTATGTAACATAAAGATTAATACATATCCTAAAGTTAGATAATTGTAAAGCTATTGACATTCTCCAACTAAAATGAGAGTAGTAAAACAAGGGAAGTTAATTGTGGGAGAGCCTGATTGCCTCTAACTGTCGTTATCTGTTCCTTAGAATATTGCCAAACTTAAAATATTTGGGGTGTACTTTCAGTGCTGAGTATATTATTCAGATTTGCTGCCATAGGCAAGTTCAGTCATAACAGTTCACTTTTCCTGAGCAGAGGACAGCCTTTCCTTTGGCATCTTTTAATTCTGAGAACTTTGTGCTTTAACTATAACCTTTTTCTTCTCTAAAGAAAATCTTCATTTGTGCAGTCAGCTGGCTGATTCAATCTCCAGCTGAAAAATAATCACGAGATGAGTGCATGTTCTTTAGAATTCAGTCCTGTTTCTGATGGGCTTTAAAAAGCTCCGACAGCTTTAGTTAAACACAGCAGTGGTTTTCAGTATGTGGCTCTTTGTCTCTGTACAGGATTCCTGTGCAGGAGGTCCTGTGAGAAAAAGCTCTATCAAAGATTGGAAAAAAAATTATTTTAAGATTTTAAGGAACAAAAAGATCTGGCAAGAAATAGGATAAGAGGATGCTTAAACTCTCTGAGTAACCAGGAGAGAGGTAGAACAGGAGTAATGTTAATTTAGAGTATTTTGGGCAAGCCATGATCTTTCTTGAAGATTTTGTTATAGGTCATGTTCTTAATTTTTCTTAAATATCATATTATTTTTAATTTCCACACAGGTTACCAAGTACTTTCATAGTCTCATAATATTATTTTGCTATTTCCAATAACTTGTAATTAGTAATCACTTCAACCAAATTTTTAAATAAACAATGATTAGCATATGTGAATTCTTATACCTGGAAGCTCCATACCCAACTAAAGCAAAACTGAGATAGATAGATAGATAGATAGACATCAAATAAGGTAATATTCCTGTATTTACAGCACCCAGAAGCATAATTGCTCTGTAGGTGATGAAATGAGATGGGTGGGTTTGCCCACCTACTTTACAAACCTGCTCTGGATGGAAAAGGGGTGTCTGGAAATGCCTGTATCCTCATCAGGTGTGGTGAGTGCCCATTCCTGAGCATCCCTTGCCTAGCAGGTTGAAGAATTCCCAGGAGATGACCCACACACCCACATTGCTTGGAACTGGAATCAGTGCCTGTTAAACTGACTGGGAAAAGGTGTGCTGTTTTCAACAGGACAATTTCAGGACACCTCTAGTCAGTCTTTAAATTTTCCTTTAGATTAAATCACGGGATCACAGAACATGGAATGGGTTGTGTTGGAAAGGACCTTAAAGACCATTCAGTTTCACTTCCTACCATGAGCAGGGACACCTTCCACTATCCCAGATTATTCCAAGCCCCATCCAGCCTGGCCTGGAACACTTCCAGGGATCCAGGGGCAGCCACAGCTTCTCTAGGCAACCTGTGCCAGGGCCTCACAGGGAAGAATTTCTTCCCAATATCCCATCTAACTCTGCCCTCTGTCAGTGTGAAGTCATTTCCCCTTTTCCTGTCCCTTCTCTGTCTTCAGGTGGCCTGAGATGGGGGACATTGACTTTTAAGAAACCCAGTTCAGATGCTGAGTAAAACCTGACCAGTTCCGAGGTCTCTGTCTCCCTTGTCTCACATTTTCAAGGACTTCAGGCACTTCCAGCCCAATGTGTCTGTCAGGGGATTGTATCAATTCTTGAGACAGGTAGCAGAATAGGAAAAGCTGGAATGCTAAAGGAAGGTAGTGAAGCCCTTTTGCAGTAATATCTGGTATTCTTTGATTAAACCTAGTAATGCAATACTCAGGATGTGATTCTTATATTTGGTTGAAGATTTAAATTTTTTTGTTGTTGCTTTTTATGGGAGGAAACTGCTTGTGCTCTGTGAAAACTCCAGAGTGCACACTGTTGTTGAAAAGTAAGTTTTAAAGACATGTTGTTTTCAGTGTAAATGTGGAGCTGCTGGTCACAGCCACACAGACTGCCTTAAATTCATAAGTTCATGCAGCATTACTACAAATACTGCTTATAGGATAGTAGCTTAAAGAAAGTCCAGTATATATTTCTCACATTTCTAGATATGGTGTAGCAACCTGACATGATCAATCAATAAATGTGATCACTCATCTGTCTTTGGAAGAGCTTCACAAATCACAGGCAACTTTAGGCCTCCTGAGCTGGTTGATGCAATCAGGACATGCATCTATAAAACAGGTTTCATACAGCCTGGATTCAAGCAATTACCCGGCCTCTCTGCCCTCTCTTCCTCTCTTCCTCTCTTCCTCTCTTCCTCTCTTCCTTTCTTCCTTTCTTCCTTTCTTCCTTTCTTCCTTTCTTCCTTTCTTCCTTTCTTCCTTTCTTCCTTTCTTCCTTTCTTCCTTTCTTCCTTTCNTCCTTTCTTCCTTTCTTCCTTTCTTCCTTTCTTCCTTTCTTCCTTTCTTCCTTTCTTCCTTTCTTCCTTTCTTCCTTTCTTCCTTTCTTCCTTTCCTTTTTTCTTATTTTTTAATAAGGAAATAGTGTGTCCACAAAATTCAGATTTAGTAAACTGGCTACAATAAACAATCAGTTTAAAAAGACATGAAAGACTAAATATTTTTAAGTGTATGTAGATTTAATTGTAATTGCTGTGCCATGTATTATTCTCAGACTCTGGAATAGGCATAGCAACTGACATAACTTGCTCTGAATATTCCCTGGATTAAAAATTCTTGCTGTTTGGATTCTCTCATGAAATGGTTGGCATCCCAACAGTCATGACAAGTGTATATGTTGGCAAGGAATTAAAAATGGTGGTGCCTCTGAAGTTTAGCAGGAGGTTTCCTGCCTGGGGATGGCAGGCAGTCGTAGCTGTTGCAAATGCCATTCCCTTGTCTGCATTGCAGCTCATTTCTGAAACAAAGCAAGCTTGGGCACATGTTCCACTTTGTAATAGGAACTGCTACATTTGGTTTTCTTTGAGTCTTCTCTGACACTGGAGTCTTCATGTGCCCACTTCTTTTTTTTTTTTTTTTTCTTGTTGTTTTGTTAATAAATCAAATCTGACTACAAGATCTCTCTGCCTCTAAACCACAGTAAGGGCTGCTTGAAAAAGCGTGAGCCTCTCAAATTTTTTACCCTCAAGAGGAAATAACTGATTTTTTTGTTTGTCTTTGATCCAGTCTCATCAATGCAATTTTCCTTCTTCAAACAATTGAGCCTGCAGTTCATTATAGTGCAAGACCGGAACCCTTCTATTACCTTATTTTTAGCAACAATTAAATCGAGCCTTAAAATTGCATTTGCAAAAAGAAAGGCCTGCACCAGTCCCAAATCTTAGAACTCGGCTATTAAAATTTGCTCTCACTGAGGCTTCAAGAGGGGCAGCAGCAGATTGAATCCCAGCACTTTGCTCTCCTGGATGTGAGTGTCATTTGGTGGTGTGGCTTGGTGTTAATTTGTGGCAGCCCCTTGGACCTGCCTGGACACGCTGCCTGTCCTGGGAATCCTTTCTGGCCTCCTCCAGCCCTGAGTTGAGGGTGCAGGGTTAGAGAGCACCCGGATGGCTCAGGCAGGTGCATCTGTGCTGGAGACTCAGTGGAGCTTCTCAGCCTGGGACAGTGAGGAGCTCCCACCTTCCAAGCCCCCTCCCAGCACCAAGGACATCAAGGGGGGTTGAGCGTCTTCCCAGAGCACAGCCTCTGACTATTTATCAGAGCTTATGTACATGATTAAAACATAACTTCCCTTCAGCTTATGGAGCTTAGCGGTTATTAGAGGCATGAATTAATGGAGAGACAGGTTGTGTTTGCTGCAGAGTCAAGGAGCTGTGCTGCAGAAGAGAGAAGTTGTTTTGCCAGGTGATTTGGTGGGGTCCAGCATTGCCTCCAGAATTTTTCAAACAAGAAAAGTTTATCTGCAGTTGGGACTGACTGACACCATCACATCTTTGTAGGACATTTGCCATTAGAGAATATGATAGTTTTCTTAAACATGGCTATTCGAAGTCTAGGAAAAAAAAAATCACTACTTAGACAGGATGGACGTGAAGAGATTTGGAAGCATCTGCCAAACTTGTGAGAGCAAACTCCTGTCACAGTGACTGTGGGAGCCCAACTGGAACTTAGAAAGAGGAGTATAGTTTGAAACACTGGATATTTTACTGTCATCATACCCAACTGAGATATACACATGTTATGGGTAGGAAAGCTCTCTGAATATCCATATTAAAGTTTGCTGCAAAAATATGGAGCCCTCATGTTATTTACCTAGCATGGTGTGCATGGAAGTGTGGTAACCATCAGGAAGGCTGAGAGATCCAGAGAGAAAAAAAATCTGATTAAGGGCACCTAGAAGTAGGCAGAGTAACCCCCTGCAAGGAATCAGACTCCTCAGAATGCAAAACTGCCAGGTGAGGATTTCAGGCCCATGTGGAAAAGCTGTGTCTGTGTATGAGCCTAACAAAGGGGACAAAAATGACAAGATGAAGGTAGAGCTTTCTTATGCTTTCACCAGACAAAATGAAAGAGTGAAATAAAAT